TTTTTTTTTTTGTATTTTAGGGAAGGGTCTATAGGGTGTTTAATGGCTCACTACTAGGTGGGACTCATAGTGATCTGCCTATTTACAGCCTCCCAAGAGCTGGGATTACAGGCACCTGCCACCACACCCAGTCTCATGACTCCATTTTTATCTTAAGTGTTGATATATTATTTGATTAACTGGAGTTCAGCTGATCCAATAATTTTTTCTAATGAAAAGAGAATATTTGGTTTAGTTGAAACTGGAGATTAGTCTGAAACTTTTTAAAGAAGCCAGTCCTAGCCACTTGGACCTTCTGGGATGTGCTTTTACTGTGTTCACAAAAGCGATAGAGTTGAAAGTTTCCTAGATTCTAACTTCAATCTAACTTCAATTTCTTGGGGAAGGGAGGAGAAACTATGGAAGTTATTTAACACCCTCATTTTTCATTTTAAAACTAGAGGACAATGTGTATAAGAATATGCAAGAATCAGAAGAAATCCACATATCCAGCCACCTAGACGAAGTTGTTGCTGCTGTCAGCATCAGTCCTAGAAAAAAGGTCCAGAGCCAGCTGCCTCAGACAGTGCTTTTCCAGCCTCCTCGAGAGAAACTCCACCTCTGTGAAGAGAAAGCCAAGTCCTATCTCAGCAGTCACCAAGTAAGAGGCCTTTCCATTCTCTACCTTTTCTTTGGCAGTTGAACTACAGTACCGCATAAGACTGAAGGTAGATATTTTAGTTCACGTTCTTAAGCTGAACACTGTAGCAAAAGGGTACATAAGAGAAAGCCTCTGTCAGATTACAAGTGAATATAAGATGTCAGGACTCCAAGCTCAGCAGTTGGCATAGGCTATACTAAATATTTATCGAGCTTCTACCCTGTGCCTGGTCTACCCATTGGTGTAGGTGCCAAAAGTAGAGGGGGCAAAGCCACAGCCTCTGCCTCAGTGGATTTATGGTTTGGTTGAGGTGCTAGACAAGAGGGAGATTACAGTAGACAGTGTTATGGGTTCTGTGGTGGACGCAGCTTAGAGGAGATAGATTCAAGACAGGAGGGGTGGATGATGGTCCTGGAGGTGGTGATGGGCAGCAACTGGGGCTCACCCCTTGGGATGGTAGTCACTTGGTCTGTACAGGGAACAGTGCTTAGGAGAAAACTAGGGGATGGAGATATCAAAAGAATTCTGGCCAAATATAGTTGATGGGCAAGAACCGAGGACCTGAGGGAACACAGTCTGACCAGGGAACTAGAAGGAGCTGTTTGAGAGGAAGATTGTAGTGAGGTTTTATGGGTAAGAGCTGGGGTCTGGAGGGTGCTGTTGTGATCCATGTGGCTCTCAGTGGCTGCCAGGAGAAATGGTGAGGGGATTTAGGAAATAAAGACAAGAAACAAGATTGAGGTCAGGCAGTGGCCTCTTTACTTGATAGGAAACGAGGACAGAACAACAACAGTAGAGGCATTTACTTATACTTTTCCAAAGTTAGTATCACGAGACAGAAGGGTGCCTAGCAACTAATGACTGAAATAGTCCAGGAAGGATGCTTTTCTCAAGACTGAGGTAGCTTGACTGCTTTAGGTACATGGCCTTGACCTGCTCCCATGCATGTGACCAATTTCTAGCTTCAGCCACTCCCAGCAGGGCACTCAATCTCCAGCAAAGTGTTTCGATTTTCTTTAAAGACCCAAGGATGATAAATAAGAGAAGACCATGAGCAGGTTTGAGCTTTGAGGATGATCATTCCCAGAGCAAATAGAAGAGGAGCGTTACACAGATACACACAGTTACCCTGGCAGGGACTTATGAGGACTTGAACTGTGTAAGGCAGAAGCAGTAGAGAGGCCAAGACCTTTTAAGGGAATGCAACCATACAATTCAGCAGGCCTGGGTGACAGAGGGGACAAGGAGATGGAGAGGTGAAAACATGGCAGAGGGCGAGTGCAGAACCCCGACTAAGGTCTCAGTCTGCTTGGGTGATTGGAGATTTGCCTGTGACCTTCATTAGTGTCAGGAGTACAGGAGTAAGCACAGTGTTGTGGTAAGTGGGCATGAATTTGGCTTTGCATGTGTGCTTACCCATGTACCACGCCATCTGCTAGGTAAGCTGCCAGCGAGTAGCCCTCCTCAACCAAAGTTCAACAAGAGAATTAATCTCAATACCCAAAGGCATTTAGTGCTTCTCTCCTGTGTATAGTGCAGCAAGGCGTGTGTCCTGCATGTCATCCTGGAGCTGAGGGGCAACTCACACTATGAACAAACCAGATAGTTGGGGGTTGTAGTGAGTGCTAAGCAGGGAACAGAACAGGCTTCTCTTGGGCAGGCTGGCCTGGGGAGGAGTCTGAGGAGGTGACAGACAGAAGGAGCCCACACGGAGGAGCTGAAGGAAGAGAGTTCTAGCAAGAGGAAACACCACCCAGGCATGAGTGTGTGCCGCATTTAACGTGAAGAGAGAAGCCCATGAGTTGGAAGAAAAATCAGTTCAGTTAGTCTCTTCATGTTGTGTTCTGGGTGCCTTGAGACACCTTAAAATGTCTGCAGAATTATCTGTAGGTTGTAATTCACTTTGCAAATGGTGTGGTTTTTGGAAATTTTTAAAAAATAATTTTAGAGTTACTAAAAAGTTACAGTTCACCAGTTGCTAACATTTGCTTTACTCCTTTTTTAACATTCTTTGGTGTTGAGGATTAAACCCTGGGCCTCCACATTTCAATCCATGAATTCATATTGAATACAGTTTCTCCCTCACCTGACTCACTGTTGTCTTGAGTCCACACTAGCCTTGAACTTGTGTCCTCCTGCCTCAGCCTCCTGATGCTGCGCTTAACAGCATGCACCTTTCTGCCTGCCGCATCTCTGTAGTCTCTTCTAATCCCAAGTGCCTTAACTTACTTTTCACAGTCTTGATAGTTTTTAGAAGTACATTCCAATTATTCTGTAGAATATCTCTTTATTTGAATTTGTGTTGTATTTCCTCATGATTTTATTCCACTGCTGCATTTGAGACAGGAATAGTGCACACACCGTGTTAGAGACCTCCTCAGTGAATCATACCAGAAAGTAAAGAATGTCCTTCGGGCTCATCGCTGTGGTGCTGACTGCGAATGCTTGGTTAAAGCGCTGTCTGACAGGTTGGCTCATTGTTAAGTTACTTCTCTGTAATTACTAAGTACCTAATAGGGAGATACACCGAGACTGTGTAAACATGCAAGCCTTCACCCCTAAGTTTCAGCATCCACTGATGCTTCTTGCCTGAATCTGTTATTATCTACGATGCTTGTCAAATAGCGGGCTTCTGGCTCCAGGATGTTTTCGACATTTGCTTGTATTTCATGGTAAGAAAGGGCTTTCCCTTCATCACACTTCATTTATTATTCATGCACACCTGTAAAGGTTCAGGAAGTCGTATTTTACACCAGTACTATGATGTCTACAACCCATTATTTTCATTGAAGCTTCAGTCGTCTTGTATTTGCCAGTGAGAGCACCTGCAAACTGGCCACGTTGTTGATCTATCCTCTTATCCCTTGAACACTTTCTTAACATCTAGCCCAAGACTTTTCAGGTTCATCTTAGACTTCCCTTGCTGTAGCACAGGGTTCAGAGAACCCTGGTTCCTGATCTCCATAGAGGCTATTCAGAGAGTAGAAAAAAGTTATAAAACCTAAATGCCCAACAATGGTGACTAAGTAGTTCAATTATGATGTAGCTATACAATAAGCCCAGGGCTGCCATTAAGATTTATGGAAGATGGCATGAGAAAGGTTCATAAATTGTTAAAATAGCAGGTCGCTATGGGCCTATTTTGAAGAAGAAAAATATATGAATGAGTTCATAAAATACAGAATAATAGGCTACTTCGCAGCCTGGTTTTCTCTCGGTGAAGTGAGCTTGTGAGAGGTTTTAGTTTTCATCCTTTTGCTCACATACTTTTTGACAACAGCAAGCATCTATGACCTCTGTGAGAAGAAACTGTTACTGTAGACAAGAGCCAAAGTCCACCTCTGTCAGCACTCTGGGGGAGGCACACCGCCCTTGGCTTCCTCCTGCTGGGTCACAGAAGTGACTTTTCTGTGGTGAACTGGATGTGTATTTTTGTCAAGAACAGTGTGGTTTCAGGGTGCAGATGTTTCTAATGGGCCTTGCCTGGGTTCTACCCGAGGCCTTCTCCTGAGTCTTCTGTATACCTCTGTCCTTGTTCATGTTTTCCTTCTTCTTTGCCCTGTTTACTTGCTGTCATGAGCTCCCATGCCTCGTCTGGGTTGTCTGTGGCACATAAACCTCAAAGCTTAGCAAACCGAATCAAGCTATTTTTCTCAGGAGCCTACAGTTTGTGTGGAGGTCAGTGTTTAGCTGTGTTCAGGCTGGGTGGGCACAGAGAGTCTACACCAACAATACCTGCTCCTCATGCAGTTGACTACTCAGTGCTGGCTACCTGTGCCTTTCCTCATGGGCCTCACGGGGCACCTCTTAGGGTTCTTCACAGCTTGGCGGTTGGGTTTCATTTTGGACTGCTGGGGCCATGATAGCAAAACACCGCAGGGTTAGGGGCTTAAGCAGCAGCGGTTTATTTTCTTGCAGTGTGGGAGCCTAGAAGTCCAGGATCTAGGCGTTAGTGGGGTTGGTTTCCTTCCGGGGCCTCTATCCTTGGTTCGCAGACCCCTACCCACTATCTCCACATGGTCTTTCCTCCACGTACACGCCACCCTGGTGTGTCTTTCTCTTCTTCTGTAGCAACACCAGTAGGGTGCACCCTGCTGGCCTCACTCAAACTCAAGTCACCTCTTTAAAGGCCCTATCTCCAAAGATGGCTGCATTCTGAGGTGTGGAAGGTTGTGACTTACACACAGTGATCTGGTAGGAACCCAAAAGTGTAATCCATATCCAGATTCTAAGAAGGACATCCAAGAAGAGGGAGAAAGTGAGATTCATTAGTTCCTTCAGATGTGGGTTTAAAAACTGGCAATGCATCATATGTTCTATATTTTATTGGCCAAACTGTCACAAAGCAAGCTCAAAGAGATGGTGACAGAGACCCCCACCTCTGGCTGGAAGGATTGTCAAAGGATTTTTGAGCTGTGTTATTAAACCGCCAGCCTTGCTCTGAGTGTATCATTGCTCTTAGGTCAGCTGCCCACTGGCCGTTGTCAGCTAAGAACAGTAATATACTCAAAGCTGAGAATGCACGGTTCTCTCTTCTCTTTGTCCTGGCCCACAGTCCTTTAGTAAAGTCCCAATGATGATCTCCTTTACTATGCTAATATAATAGGCAGCTGATGAGAGCTTCAAATTGAGAGCTCTGAAAACCACTAGCACTCGTCTGCCTGTAGCAGAATACGTAAGAGTCGCTTGTTGAAGGACAGCTGGAAAATATACTTTCATATTTTTAATTCTGTCTCAGTGATCTTCTCTTGCTGGGACAAATGCCTGACATTCAAAATGAAGGAAGGAATGGTTTATTTAGCTCACAGTTCCTGGAGTATGTTGCAGTCCATACTCAGCTGGCTCCAAGGCAGAGCGGCACACAGCAGAGGGCAGCAGTTCATGGCAGTGGAAGGCAGCAAAACAGCAAAAGCAAGTGGGAGGAGTAGCAGCAACAACAGCTATAGAGAGCAAGTCTGTCTCCCTTATGTTGCATTTAGGCTGTCCGCCCTAGGCTGGGTGTAGCACTCATGTCCACAGTCCCAGCAGCACTCACACCCATAATCCCAGCAGCACTCATATCCACAATCCCAGTGGATCATGAGTTCATCACAAACTCTAGAAGTAAGTCTACCCTGTGATTTTATGAGGCTTTGGGGGGACAACTAGACACAAAGCATAACATTTTCACCTTTATATGTACTGTAAATTATATTTATTTATGTCTACTGTTTATTTTGTTCTTGATAGAGCTCAAGTGCTCAGAACCATGCTTAGCACCGAGTGGGTACCCAATACATGCTTGTTGAATAGATGAAAGTCTGTTTTGAGATGTGTGACTCTAAGCTTTAAGCTAACTGGTACGTTCGTTTTGTTTTCCTAACAGTACAAGCAGGCTGTCCCGGAGCTTGTGCGCTGCGTAGCGCTGACCAGGATTTGCTATGGCGACTGCCACTGGAAGCTCGCAGAGGCCCACGTTAATCTGGCCCAAGGCTACCTCCAGATGAAAGGTGAGCTCGCCTTGCTCTGAGGAGGGCACATTGGCTAGTCTCTGCTGTTCTCTCAAACTTGATTCCGACTTAACGAGAAGGATCAGTTTTTTAAGTATTCTCCTTTCTGAATATGGAGAACCCATTTCTTTTTAGAAAGAGCCAATCTTAAGTATACAACATATAAATATTCAAAGGGAAGAAGGAAGATTGTCCTTCTGGGCTTGTCTTTTTATAATCTTCACACTAAAGTTCTTAGGAGATGATTAATCTTATAGGTCCAAAGGTGTTGCAGAAAAAACCAAGACATAAAGTAGGGGCTTAGAATGGACTCGGTTCACGCTTTTCTTGATGGAAAGTTTCTTGATATGACAACGACAATAAAGCAAACAATAACAACAAAAAGTTAACCAAAACTGGAATAACTAAAAACATATTGGCTCATATAACTTAAAAACTCGAGGGTAGGGCTGGCGAGATAGCTCAGTGCACTAAGCACCTGCTTGGCAAGTGCAGGGATTGGGGTTCGATCTCGGCACCACATGCTGCGCTGCTCCCACCCCCAGGCGCGCTGAGCCAACCACTGAGACTGGGCATGCTGGTGTGTGTCTGTAATCCCAGCACTGGGGAGGCTGAAAACAGGAAGATCACTACGAGTCCGAGCTGTGTAGCAAGACCCTATACCAAATACATAAATTTTTTTTTAAAAAAAAATCGAAATTAAAGCTTTCTTTAGACCTAGCCATCCCTAAAGCTCAAACTCCGTGCCCAGCGCTCAGCTCCCCTGTCCCCGCCACTCAGCCATTTGCCTTTCCTTGGCTCCATTCTCAGCCATCCTGTGCCTGCATGGTGGCAGCACGGCTAGCAGCTGCTTTAGGTTTCCCTTCTAAGCATTCTTAGGAGAAAAAGAACACTCCACCCCTGAAAGGTCCCAAGATTTGGGGGAATCCTAGTTAGACCGGTGTGGTGTGATTTACATTTTATGTCGAAGGCAAGGAACAGCTGGGTGAGCTGGGGCAGGGCAGTGATCCCAGCCCCTGGGAGGCTGAGGCAGGAGGATCACTGAGCTCGAGGCCAGCCTCCGCTACGTAGTGAGTTCAAAGCCAGGCTGAATTCCTGAACTGTAATGGAAGATCCTGTCTCAAAAACAAACAGAGGGAGCCTGCCCTTTAGCTCAGTTCTTTAAGTGGCTGCTTCAACAAAGCAGTCAGGCTCAGGTTGCTGTGGTTCCATCCCCACAACTCAAGCCAGCCAAACCTGCCCTGAAGGCATTCACAGCCAAAAAAAAAACCCAGAAAAGCAAGGAGCAATGTCATTAGCCTGACCCGACTTTTGGCTTCACTGCATGCTGGGAAAGAAGCCGCCTTTGCCCTGATCACATGGACTGTACCTGCAGGTGTGGAACATCCCACAGGGAAAGCAGAAGAGGGGAGAATACACAGGCACAGGGAAGGCGGAAACAGCAGACAGCCAGAGCATGGCATTTTCTACTCACTCACCATGTGACCCAGGACAAGACCATGTGCAACAATGCATCTCTAACTCGGCTCCTTCACCTCGAAAGTGATGGTTGAAGATGCGGGTGACCCTAACATCCCAGAGTTGGTCCCATGAGTGAATGAGCAGTAATGGTAGAAAACACCACAGTGCCAAGCGTAGCACTGTCGGCTGGTGACTCTGTTCCGGTCTATGGAGGTGGGGCTTAGCGTCCGATCCAGGATCCTTAGAGCCAGGGACCACCTCGGAGATCATCTCGTGTGACCCCTCCCATTTCCTAGACCAAGAGGAAACAGCAAATCTGAGCCGAAACAGCCTGCCCTAGATGGCACTGTTAGTAGATAGCTGATCTGGGACTCAGACCTACAACTTCACATACTTGGGACCTTCCATCTGGGATTTCAGGCAATGTGCTTCGGCAGCTCCTTTTCTGGTAGAGCCTTTCTCCATTTAACATAAAAGCAGTGTCCACTGTTGAATGAGGATACCCAAGTGAGGGCACTGTGGTATGTTTCGTTCATGGCCCTTCTCAGTCTTTATCGGAGTTTAGTGAGGAAGGTACTATTATCATTACTGTTTAGAGGAAACTGAAGCCATTGTCCCCCAGCAGTGTTGCCTCCCTCCCAGCAGGGACTTCATCCCAGATGGCCTTACTTCAGAGCTGACATTTGTGAACTTCCACCTGCCCTGTATCCAAGACACTGAGTGCTAGTTCTTTTTTGTTTGCAGACCAATTTATTTCACTAACATTTGTGCAGTACGTAATGGCTAAAAGACACTTGCACACTAAATGATCTAATTCTTGTAGATATTGATAGCCATAAATCATCGTGAAAGTCTTTTCTCCATTTGTTTTTGGATTTTTATGAAAATGTTATTTATTGGGCTGGGCAAAGAGCTCAGTGGTCTAACCACCTTCTGGGCAAAGACCTGAGTTCAATCCCCTGGCCCAGCCGGGTAGGTGGCTCAGTGGAATAAGCGCTTCCCTGGCAAGCGCAAGGGCCTGAGTTCAATCCCCAGTTCCACACACAAAAAAATCCCCTGGCCCACATGCCATGCTGGCCCCAGAACACTGGGTGCACCATGCCAACCCTGAAACCGGGTATGGTGGCACATGCCTTAATCCCAGTGCTGGGGAGACTGAGACAGGTGGATCACTATGAGTCTGAACTGTGTAGTGAGATCCTGTACCAAATAATTAATTAATTTTTAAAATATTTATTAAATTCTATTTTAAAGAGAAAGAAAAACAAAAAAAGGACAAAACCAAAAAGCAACAAAAAAAACAGTAAAAATGATACAGGATTTCAAAACAGAATAGGAAATTGACGACGGCCATTGTAGTGTGGGAGGGGACATCAGTAGGTGGTGAGAGTGTGGGAAGTACAGAGCACAGATTCCTGTCTGGTCCCCATCAGTGTCACCCCTTCCAGGCTGATAAGCCTAGAGAAGGGCCCTAGAGCACGTGGAGAAAGCCATCTTTTTTTTTTTTTTTTTTTTTTTTTTTTGGTGGAACTGGGGATTGAACTCAGGCCCTTGCACTTGCCAGGGAAGCGCTTATTCCACTGAGCCATCTCCCTGGCCCTTAGAGAAAGCCATCTTGAGTAGCTTCTGTAGGCGTACCAGAAGCTGCTGTACCACTGTACATGTACTCTGTTAAAATAACTATGGTTAGAGAGAGTGGGCAGAAGACCTAGAATTTTTAGTATTTCATTAAGATTGCTGTCACAGAGCCAAGATTTAGATTCACGAGTATCTTACTTCCTGCCCAGAATACAGTCCTTGTATCCTATTTGTTTTTTTATAATTATTTGTAAGATATTTTATGTCTGATATTGGTAAGGTTTCAAAGCTGTTCAATTCCATCTTGTTCTGTTTAGCTCTGAAAAGGCCATTTGGGGAACATTTGTGTCTTGAGTAATCAGTAGAAAACGGCACTGGGATTAGTACAGTCATGGTAGAATCTCTGCTGCCTGGATACACATATGTCCTTGCACCATTTCATGTGTGCAGAAGCCCTGTGAGATCCCTGGGCCAGAGAGAACGATGTTCCTGCCCATCTGAGAGTAAAAAAAGAAACCACGACTGTATTTTCTTTGTCCACAGGATTTTCACTGCAAGCAAAGCAACATGCAGAAAAAGCCAAAGAAATCCTCACCGACTTTATCGTGCCTCCCTACAGTGACAACACGGATGTCTTCAAGTGCTCCGTAGAGCTCTTCCATACCATGGGGAGAGCCTACCTTTCCCTTCAGAAGTATCCTTTTGTCTCTGATCTTTGCAAATAAGCATCTTTCTCATATAATACTTAGCTTCAGTTCTCAGGGTGAGTACAAATTTGGTAGATGACCACAGGCAGTGCGAAGGCCGAGGCAGCCCAGGACCCAAGGTGTCAGGATCTAGAGTCAAGTAGACTTTCCTGAACACAATCCAGATTTAAGGATGCTTCCGAGAATTTGGTGAAAGCGGAGAAACTTTCCAAGGAGCTGCTGCAGTGTGGAAGGATTATAAAGGAAGAGTGGATAGAAGCCCAAGCACGAATCAAATTGTCATTTGCACAGTAAGTGTCGAGTTTACAGTGTTGTTTGCGTGCAGCTGCAGGCTCTTGCTGCTAGAGTCTGTCTTTAGACAGCGTGGCTTCCTTATGGAGCCTGTCCACCACATCTCTCCAGGCTGTCATCCGGAAGTAAAAGAGCAGCCCAGTCATATCAGAGCAGCCTGACCAAGACAAACCTGAGTGACACTTGTCCCTTGGTGTCAGGAACCCCCATATCCACCCAGCATGCTAGATGTCAGGGCGTTACCTCCCTGCTGACATTTTCCTGCTGCCTTCCTGCCTGCCGCTTCAGCGTCCTTCCCTTCTGCCCTCCCTTACTTCCCGCCCCCATCCCTCCACTGCTCCACTCTGAAAGGCTTCAGTGGATAGATTTGGTGATCCGGGCCTCAAGGGAGAACGATCCTACTCACATCTGAACCTGTGTTAATAAGACAGTTGTTCTTTGCCCTCCACCCCACTGTGCACTCACCTGATAAATCAGGCTGGACATGATAGGAAGAAAAGGCCATGCGCCTTAGTGGTTGGCACCTTTACCCTGACTGAAGGCACAGCCCTGTTCCAGTTCCTGAGTCTTGGGGTGCCAGAGTATGCCCTTGCTGTGGACAAGGATGGAGTTGTGGGGGGAAGAAGACAGCAGAAAGTCTGTTCTAGAAGAAGCAGGATCCCAGCTGGCCTACATGGGCACCTGCAGGCAAAGCCAGAGTCCGTTCTACCTTCATTACCAGACTGTGTGCACAGGAGGACTCAGCACCGACAGGACCATTCTGAGAAATGAACTGGGAAAGAGCCCCAAGTGCACACAGCTGAGGCCTCCGCATGGATGGAAAATGGAAAAGGCCAACTCTGACTCGAGCTTTAAAATAAATGGGGCTGGGGAGATGGCTCAGTGGAATAAGCACTTCCCTGGCAAGTGCAAGGGCCTGAGTTCAATCTCTGGTTCCATAAAAAAAAATAACAAATAAATAAAATAAATATATATATGGGTGTGTGTGTGTGTGTGTGTGTGTGTGTGTGTGATCAGTTTCTCCTTGTTTTGTCTGGGGTGTTTGGGCTGCAAGTGTCAAGTGCATCTGTCCGTGCAAGCCCCCGTGGACCCTTTCTTCTTATTAAGACAGGGTCTCACTGTGTGTAGTTCATGCTCCCTGGACTCACTGTGTAGCCCCAGCTGGCCTCACACTCTTGGTGATCCTTCTGCCTCAGCCTCCCAAGTGCTGGGATTACGGCGGGCCCCTTTTTTAAGTAAACGATTTCCTTCCTCCCGCTTTCACTTTCCTTCTCTTCCTTCTCACTGCACAGATGTCAATTTCAGTGATGGTTTATGTCCTCAACTGGATCTCTGAATAAGTAGTATTTAGTTCATGTGTGCTTTAAATTTATATATACTTGTGTCTATCTTGTTCGGTTCCTTACTTTTTCTCTACTCAACTCTTCGGAGCTGTTGCTTGTATATCAGCTCCTTGCTTCTGTCCTCTGTGTGGTGCTTCATGGGATGCATGCAGCGTGTTTTTTTATCCACCTCCTAGCAGGGGACACTGAGCTGTCCCCTGCTCGCTGCTGCCACCAGGGCTGGTGTGAATATTCATGAGTGTTCACCTCCTGTAACTGAGGCCTCATTTGAGGTTCACGCCTTGGGTGGGGCTCCCGGGGTGGGGGTAGAAACACACTCCTAATTCCCTGAGCATCTGCTGATTGCTGAGCCTGTCAGCATTCCCTCTTGCTGGACAGACAGATTGCTGTTTCTCATGTCCCAGCAATAGCTGGCGTTGTCATCTTCCTGCCTGTTGCCACCTTGATGGATGCAATGTGCTAATTATGTGAAATCCTACTTATATTTATCTTATTCATGAGTTTGAGTGCCTCTTTCTATACTTCCTAGCCACTCAGGATTCCCTTTCTATGCATAGCCTCTGAGCATTTATTTCGTCTTTGGAATTTTCTGTTTGCTCCTATGGGTAATCAGAGTCTTTTTATCTGTTATTCTGTTTTTTTAATGTTTAATTTATTTTGTTCATGCTCTTCATGACATAGAAGTTCTTTATTTTGTTAGAGTCAAATCCATCCATATTTACCTTTTGATTTGCATTTTGGGAGTTTGGTTAAAAAGTGGTTCCAGTCCAAATATCAGAAATAGTCTGCAGAATTTCCCTATGAACCATGCTTTAGCTGTACCTCCTGTATTACAACACGTAGCACTGCAGCATTGTAACTTCATCCGTGTCAGGACATTCTAAGAATTTCTTAACTTAGTTCTCTTTAGTGCAGAGATTACTCAACTGATGGGTATTTCAGTTTGCAGACATATGTGAGCTTTTGAGGTATTCTGATGTTATCGCTGTCTAATTTTATTACATTGATGACCAAAACATATCTGCATCAATTCTTTGACATTTATTGGTGCTTTCTTTGTGGCCTAGTCCGTTGACAACTTTTGCAAACGTTCCAGTACAGTCTGAAAGAAATAACATTTGTTATTTATTGTATTTCACATGCTAGCAAATCTATATGAGTTTGATCTTATTACTTCTGTTATTCCAATTTATATCTTTATGTTTTGCCAATTTGATATGCTAGTTTTTAAGGTGAGGTGTACTGTATTTTAAAATCTCCAAGTGTAACTGGCAAGCCACCCATGTCTTCAGAGCTCTGCCATTCTTGGTTGTACATCCCAGGAGGCTGTTTCGTTGGAAGGAGCAGAATTCTCCATCTGTGACTTGGCTCCTCTGTGGTTCTTGTCCTTTCTCGTCCTCCGTGTCTTGCCTGATGTTCCACTTGCCATAAAAATTTAGCTTTATACCCTCTTTCATAGTTTTAAGTCTTTGCATTTTTTTATCCTGCCAAGTTTATATTGTTTCTTGCTGTTGTGTAGATTACATCTAAATATTTTTATTATTCCATTTTCTACCCATTAGCTTGTAAATTATACATTATCACTTATGCTTTTGACTGATTATAGTCTAATTCTCAATCAATTAATGGCTTCCAGACAGTGTAGGGACCTTGGAGCACACTGACGCTCTGTGGGTGCCACATGGTCCTGTGTAATTAAATCACCATGTTTATACCCCGGGCCGGCGCAGAAGGGAAGAAGTCATTGGTGATGCATGTAACTGACACAGGGCTCATGTCTAGAAGCTGTAAGGAGCCCCAATATTTCATTAAAACAAATTCAAGCAACTGAACAGAAAAAAAGTGCAGGAGTCCTTCCACAAAAAAAGGCTACGCAGCTACTATGCGTATCAGGGAAATGAACACTGAGATCCGAGGCCGTGACAGCCCTGCTAAGACTCCTTGAAAGACTGCCGACATCCGTTGTGGCCCAGGAGGTGGGACACAGATACATGGTCTCGTGGGCCAAGGCACAGCCCAGGGTGTTGGGCGCTTCTTTATTTATACTGTCCAAGAATTGGAAAACAACCCAAATGTTTCTCAGAAATAGAATAAAATTGCTATCTCTACTTACAAATAAAATGGCCAAACTGCTCCTTGATTAATCATGGTTAGCTCTCAGGAACACAGTGTTTAGCTCAAGAAACCAGACCCAGAAGAACCGTTATGCAATTCTATTTACGTAACGGGAGGAGGAAGAGGGCTGTGGGCGGCCAGGAGAGCTTATTTATCCACAATCTTTTCCTGCTCCGAAGTAGGCACTGACCTATCTTGGAAGGCAGGAAATATACAGATGAGAAGTTCAAGAATGTGATATTCATTGCCTCTGTTGAGGTGTGACTAACGTTTAGTTTTGAGGGCAACATTGCTACAAACGGTGAATTGCCCTCTCCAACAAGCTGGCACTGCCTCCAAAACGCTTTCCAAAATAGCAGTACCAGATATTGCCAGCAGATGGCGGACCTTGTACGCATCTGGGTTGAACACCAGCCGGGTTTTAGTATAACAAGTTGTTCTCCAGAGTTACTTTTGCATTTAGCAGCGTGGTCCCAAAGTTTGTGACTTCTTTCCATCGCGATTCTTTGTCCTGACATCATCCCTGGAACGTACATATCTAAACTGCGTGCCTTTCGTCCACTGAGTTTGCTTTGTTTCCTCATTGAAATATCCAGACTGATCTACTTTGGAAAGGAAGGAGGCTTTCTTTTTTGTGTGGGTTTGGAGTTACCCGCGAACCGCAGTGGCCTTTCCTTTTGCCAGATCTCAGCAGTGGAAGCCAGGATAATTTCTTAGGCCTCTCTCTAGGAGGTCTGTATTCCTTTCAAAAGGCTGTCTTTTCCCGTATCCTCTTCCTCGAGGCATCTGCCTCTCCTTTTATGGTGCCTGCCAGGCCTGCAGCCTTTCTCGCTGGACCGACCTGCAAGTGCTTCAGGGTGACTCACGCCCGTGCCTTCCCTGGAAGCTTTCCTCTCGCTCCTCCTCTGTCCCTGCTCTGCTTCATTTGATAGGGCTTCGTTAATTTTGGACGCTGAATCCAAATCACGTACACCTGGTTCTTGTTTCAGCTACAGGCCCGTAAGTCAACTACAGGCACCAGCAAACGTGAGCAAACTTTTCTCCAGCATTCAGAGCTGAGTTCTATTCTGATAATTGATAGATTTCCAGAGAGATAGTTGTGTTTATATATACAGCATATCCCATTGTGTGCACTTGTACATGTGCGGGCACGCATACACACACACATGCCTTTACAATTTATCTGTGGCTTTATGGTGACCTGTTGAGATTGTTGCTCTAGAGCTTGGATTGCCCTCAGCCTCCTCTGGGACCGCGCAGCACATCCTCACAGGGGTCTTCCGCCGTTTGCTGGTGGGCACTAGGAAGGCATCATTGTGCTGAGCTAGCCCAGATACAGATAAAGCCTTTTCTTTCCCTCAGAGCGTCCACAGGACCCTGCCAGCTTCCTGTAGGCAGTGTGGGAGTTAACAACGTTGTGTGCTGGACGCTGTGGGCTTTGGAGGCAGAAGCCTGCATTCCGGTCAGTTATCAGCAGCCCGGCTATGTGCGCTTGGGCCTGAGCCCTGCTCCCTGCGAACCGTATCCTCCTCCCTGTGAAT